CTGTGTGTATTGTCTATTTCACAATTTATTGAACATAGCTTGAGTAAGCTCCCTGTTCCGAGTCAGAACAGTTCATGTTTCCAAAGCAAGTCAAGAGGAACACAAGTCCTGATAAGGGTTAACATTGACTAAAAGTTTATTTCGGTAATTTATATTTAATTTGAATAAATGTAATTGACTACTGTGTTAGCTGTAACCATAATTCCATCCTCTTGTTGGTTCTCAGAAATCTCGAGAAGCAAAGAAATTACTAGAACTCTCTCGCCACCGACTGAAAGCTTTAAAAAGCCGGAGAGATACATCTCAGCTCAGTTGCTTAGTTACTGTTGTTAAGATTTGTTTTAGTTCCTCGCGAACTGAATTACTTTCTTTTCTCTTCGAACTGCGTTGTATGTTAAGGTTTTAGTAGTTGAAGGTATAGCTACTGGTTGTATTGGGTTCTATTTAACGTATTTGCATTCTACTGATTATTAGTGCCTGATATTGTAAACACTTGTAAGAATATCTCTGAGAAAAATTCCAGAGTTTTGTTATATTTCTTGCGATAACAATAAATTTTATTAACAATAAATTTTATTAACTTTTTATCACACTTATGGATTTAATCTAGTACGAACTCGTACGCACGCAATAATATGAATGTTACATTAAGAACAGTGAAGTTAAATTTCTGTTGGTCGTTTAGATTCGTAGGTTTTATCATTATGAACTGCTAAATGGCTATTATGATGGTCAGTACATGCTTCATGAGCATCACATTAAAATAAGAGAGATTAATTTTGAAACTATATAGTTCAGAAAAATTTATTGTAAGTATTTACTATTTTTAGGAAACTAAGAGTAAAGAATTAAATTTAAAATGGCATAAATTAAAGTTAGAATTTTATCTTACCTGTTCTTTACCTTACATATATATATATATATATGCACAGACAGATAGATATATGTAGTTATAAAACTCTTGTAGTATTGCTGTTAAATAAACTGATCACTTGAAACGTTTTGCATTAGAACTCACTTTCATATCAAAGTCAGCTGAAAATCGTTTGCTTTTGGAACCTCATACTAATATTTTATAAAAATTTTTGATATATTTAGTATCAGTTTACCTAAGAAAGGGGAGTTACCTCTGTAAATGCGTCATATTCCCTTTCTAAAGACGATTAAAAAAGTATATTTTAGAATTCAATAATAAAGTATTAAGAATAGTTGAAAAAAAAGTATAGGTATTTACATGTTATTTAAAACACCATGCTTGTTATAATCAAGTAAGGTATTTTCCCTTATATGAGAAACAGTAGTAATATATAGTAAGTATATGTTTGAGATTTATTAACAATTAACAATAGAACTGTTGTAGTTTAAATAAATGATAAAAGATTAATAAATATCTTCCAGTAAGTTAATTAAAATAACGCGGGGAATTAAGTTGACGTTTACAGCTTGATTTTAATGTTATGCTACGAAATTATTTAACGCTGTACACACTGTAGTTAAATTTCAGTGTTATATTATAAGAAAGTTGAATTACCAACCTTTTATTCAAACTTATGTTTTTGTTTACGTAATTTCAAGGGACAATGGAACTGAGAAGCTGTTCAGTTACGAAAAAGCCCACAAGAGATAGTTGCCTAAGCCATTAACCTAAACGGTTCATATGGAGCAAATCATAAATATTCATGTAGCTAGCCCGTAATACTCATAACACAGTGAAAGATGTTTGCATTACACAATAAGTCTAAAATATTAAGAGACTTAAAGAAGAATCAATTTTTAGAAATGATGGAATTACTGGAAATATAATTATTAAATTTTCGAGGAATATAAAAAAGAAATTATTGATTGTCGAAACCCCGGCTTCGTTTCCTAATGGAAATTTAGCTGTTATGTAAACAGTATATTAAGTATTACAGAGCGCATCAGAAAGCTTAATTAGACTGTTGCAGCAAGCATTTCGAGTCTCCTAACGATTCTATTATACTGACAGTCAGCTTATGGAGTCCCATTTCAAATGGAACACGGACTTACATTATTATGGTCACTATCAGTATCAAATGAGATTGTAATAATCCTTATAACAGGATTGTTTAACACACTCAGTAACTGCAATCATAGCAAATCCTTTTCAACAGACGACATCCGAGTACTTTATATCATAAATGTCTCAGTTTCAGACTCATGACCAGCCATTAAATGCAGTTTGGTGTCAAGAAGGCTCAAAGTTACGATTTCCTACACATAGCTGTATTATGAACTAGTAGATCTGCGATTAGAAATTGTGTGGAAATATAGATGCAAATATGTACACAGGGCAACTCAGTTTTACTGAGTTAAAGGTGACGAGTTCAAATATATTGATAGTAAACGCAATTCCTTTGAAATTGCAGAACATTTAATTGGAAATATTAATTAGTTTAGAAGAGTGCAGTGAAACAAGTGGATGAAACTATCAGATTACAAATACATAATTTGGTGAATGAAACTATCAGATTACAAATACATAATGTGATGTAATAGGCTGTGAAAATCTGATTCCGATTCTTGAAAATTTACTTAGTTAAAATTCACAGAAATCTTTAAATGATTATTTTAATACAGTTTTAAAAAGCAGGCTCCGAAAGTGTTGATAAAAATCTTTAAACATATCATTTTTCAATATTTGGGTGAAAAATATTTTAATAAATTAGTAAACCTCATATCGATAAATATCATAACTGTATTACGTTTTAGAAATGTTTTATGAAACTTGTCTGCCTTCCCAGGCGCATTAAATTTAAAACTTCAAATGCAGTTTTCTCTCCCCTAAAGTACTTTTCATTGCTGTCAGCTACAATTGTTCCTCCCTTTTACGATTATTCAGATTTTTATCTGATTTAGAAATTAATCTGAAGCAGGGCAAATACATTAATTTTTTTTTAAAAAAATTCAAATTTATTGAGATAATACTCATGAGCTATAAACCGCGACCACAGTCAATTTTAATGAAAATAAAATGGAGTGATTTTACTGAGAGATGTTGCACAAACATGTTTGCTCATTATCATTAGTTTATTAATGAAACGAGTGGAAGGTGAGACATATAATTCTTGATTCTGTCTTTGAAAATCAGCCAGGTCTCTGTGTCTCACTTTGTAGCTTGATAATTCATATGATATACAGCTTTCCTTTTCGTCACCAGCTGAGTTTCGGACTGGACACTTTGAATGACCTTCTGCCAAGTCCATCTTTTCGGAAATAAAATCAGAACTAGAGTCATTTTTGAATAACGACTTGGTAGTGCTATGCAAATTACATTTAAATACAGATATACCTATATCCGAATGTAAATAATAGTATATTATTCATGATTTAATTTTAATTTAATAAAAATTAAGCATTTAATTCTAGTCACAATAACATATTTACATGAATTTAAAACAATATATATTTTGGGAACTATTTCTCTTATCTACGTTACATAATGGGATCATTTTACGTTGAATTCATTTTAAAACGCGACTCTAGGAAATAATCACATTTAAAATAAGGGCAATCTTTATTTAAACTGCTATAACTGTGAAGATGATTAATGAAATTCTTTGAAATCTTTTGCATTTGTTGCTAACAATATATTACATTAAACATTATTTTCGGTTTTTGTATTAATTATTAAAACGTTTTGCAAAATACGGAGATTCTGAAATAGATTAATTGCCGGAAAATTTTCTGAGACAGTAATTAGATTTAAAAAGCGATACTAAGAACGTGTTTAGCACCAAAAACTGATGCAATATTTAAAAAACTATCATATCTTCTGTTCATATTTTTAAAAAAGCAAAATTTTACATTTTAAGAAATTAAAGAATATTTATCTTGTAATTTTTTTGCTTTTACATTAAAATAAGAATTTATAATACTATGCAAATTTTAAACAAACAAAAAACTCGGTGGATTGTTCTTTTAAAATACCCACTATCTTTCATATTTAAGAAGAAATACGATAAATTCTGCTGATTTAACACAGTATAAAAATCGTCAAAATGAACGAGGAACTTCAGAACTGTTTTTCAGCAGTGAATAAAATTTGATTGCTGTTCTGAAAATGGTGAGGAAGAATCTTTCCCCCACCCCCCAAAAAAGTGTGGAGTTCATTAAAGTTAATTTGCATGGTATTTTAAAATTGCGGAAAACACTTTACTGGTTTCTTTACTCGGACATAATGTGTGAGATCTTTTAGTATTATGCTGAAAAATTCTTTAAATTTCTAATATGTTTTTACAAAGCCTTATCAGAACGAAATAAAAAATTTTCTGTAAGTTTTTAAATTTGAAACTGGCATACAAAAGCGTCTATATTTATATTTACGCTAAACTTAAGGTAAATAACTAGTACTGTGAGTATTTGAAGTAAGCGCTTAATACTTGGAATGAAGACTGATAAATATTGAATTTTTCCCTCTGTTAACACTTTCTTTGTTTCGTGTACTATTAGGCTTTTAACAAAAGTAAAGAATAATTCTACTTGAGATTTAAATTGAATTTAACCATTTTATTTAAGATCTGCTTGAAAGAAACATACTCATGCTTAATTAAAATTCTTATTCATTAATATGCTAAGAAACGACACAGAATTAATAAAATTTTCTCCATCGTTTGGGAATAAATTTTATTTTTTAATTTTATAGAATAATCTTTATTATATTTGTATCCTTTATGAGAAATAAACTAGATTTCGTGCACATAAACTTCTTTCACTATTTTTATCTTAAAATATATCTCGTACAATATATTAAATATAAAATACATGAAACAGCTGTCATACACAAAAATAACATAGCTTTAAGTATGGATGCAAGCCTAAAATTTGTATTAATTAAAGGCTTTCAATTGGTTTTCCAGTGCCATTTGTGTGTAATGTTAAAACTCAGAAGTTATGTATTAGTCCATATTTCTAGAATTACAGATTATGTATATAAATAACTCATTCAAACAGTTGAAAAAAAAAGAATATTTACAAATCGAAAAATTCAACATTTACTTTATTTTTATTTCAATAAAAAGATGATGAATGCCACATCAAGGAAAGCAACAATGCCCATTAACGTTATTCTGAGGTAAATTATTCTGCTGTAAAGTAACTAATGCCCCTTGGCTAATACTTGTAAAGTAACTAACATCGGTATCGTTCTAATGTCTTGAATACCAAACAAAATTGAAATTTTTTCCATTCAAGAAACATTCAGGATGGTGTGTGTCTCTTCCTTCTAAATTGGAATTTTGTTTTCATCAAGATACTATCTTTAGGCTAAACAATATTTTCCGCAAATTTTGTGAAAATATATTTAATTCAGTCTTAGTTAGGAAAACTACGCATAGCGTATTTAAGAAAGTATACTTTATAAAAGTTTACATACTTTTAATAACGACCTTACAAGCCTTTCAATACCTTTCAGTGCTTTATGCATGCGACATTTTTTAACATTAACATAAGTCAGCTTAAAAGAAGGAAAATATTAAGTTTCAGGAAAAATCACTGTTTGACATAATATTAATTTTAATAACATAATAAATCAGACAATTTTATTTGATACTGTTCTGAAGTTTTCATATGTTATATGATAAAAATTACGAATATAAGTTTATATATCACGAACATAAATAATTTATATATAATATAATTTAGATTTCTGCAGGATAAATATTAGATAAAAGATATATATTTTATTCTTATTCTTATCTTATATGAAGATTATCAGTATAAGATAACAAAAACCTCTATGGAAAACAAATTTAATGCAGTTATTTACAGCAAAGCATACTAAGGCTATTCGTATACAGGAAAGACTTAGAGAGTCTCCATGTTCCTTTTGGTAGCATACAACGTGGACTCTACGTAGATGATGAAGTAGCGAATGCTAGCTGCTATATCTTTGAAGAATAAATACTGCAGAAGAAGGTTTTAAATAACCTTTTTATTTAAAATAAGTTAAACAGATGCACGCACAAGTCACCGCCACTTGTGGCTAACTAAATTAGTAGAAAATAAGAATGTAAAATGCATATTAAATTAAGATAGCTAACGACTGTCTTCTTTGTTTAACTAAACGCTAAATCGGCTGCACTCAGCAAAGTCGAGTCTAGAAATATCAGTATAAACTGAAAGATGTCTCTAAGACCGACTAGATAGCTAATTTCAAACACACAGCAAACTCGGAACTAACTCCGCTAGTACTCCTTTCGAAATCTTGAAGCGCAGCTTAAATACTGCTTCTCAAACATGTTTAGATTAGCATACTGCGTCAATACAAATTTGCATTCCGGCAGGAAACTGAAATCAGAAGGGAAAGAAAAGTAAAACTAAAAATAATTGGTTATAATAAAATTTAGTCACGAAGTGAAGTCTCGTGGAAGATTTTCTAAAACAAATGGCCAGTATTTCCATCTTATATGAAAACACTTTGAAGGGCAAATATTATTATTTACCTTTGTTAGAAAAGAGACAACAGAAGAATAACTACACAGAACTTTACTACTGGTAGATGATTTTATTAAGTCATAAAATTGCAGTATCTAAAGATTTTAGGCTGAAAGCAGTATATTCCAAACTTTAACCACAAAAGAGAGTAAAAAATTATGTTATTATTGTGTAAGAGTACAAATGTGTCACTTATTATACCTTATAAAAGCACAGACAAATTTTGGTCTTCAGTTCTTGAGCCTTACTTTGCGATAAATAAACCTTAATAATTTAAGGCAATAAACATTTTTTATACTAATTTATAATGGTGGTTTATATACAGTCAGATGTCATATTCTGTTTGCAGCTATTAAGAAAGCAAAGAAAGAAAAAAAATCCATAACTCAGTCTTCAGATTATTTATGGCAGAGAATGCAATATTACTGACTGAACTGTATTAAGACATTAGTTCATTAGATGAAGACTGAACCCATTTCACGCGCACACACACACACACACACCATAAAAAAATAAGAAACTGCTTTTAAACTATTCTATTTTATTAATTTGCACTATGAGCATAGATAGGCTCTCGCTCGATTTTCGGCATTTTTATAAATTCATTTATGGGGCATAACACATAGCCTAACAGGAAAGCAACAGCGTCTCTGTTTAAAAACGCACACATTTACTAAATTAAATTAATATATAAAATATGTAAAACAAATATAATCTGGATAATTTAGTTTATTAATTTACAGCATAAGAATGAAAATATTTCTCATGTTAATTCCAGAGTGGTAGTTTATATATAGCTAGTTGTCATAGATAGTTTGCAGCTGGTAAATGTTCTTGTCTTATTTATCAGTACATAGCGGCTCCTTGGAAATCTAGAAACTCAGATAACACCGTTAATCATATAGTTCCTTGTTGCGTTAAGATATGACATCCACATTGGGCCAGAAGTATTAGGATATGCGAAAGCACCTAAACAGCGTGCCATTACTGTTCCTTTGGGTCCGAAGGTGCCTATAAATATATTGACAATGGTGATAAGTGCTACTAATCCCATGGTAGTATGATTTAAAAAATTGGAGTATGTCTCATCACTGGCATTCTTGATCACTTGGCAGCCAAGCAGAAACATAGTTAGTCCCACCAGAAGCTGAAATGGAAAAAAAGTTCGATCTGAATAAATTACTTGTCATATTCTTAATATATTGCCTTTTTACGCTATTATTTTTTAAATCAAAGCAACAATATTTTAAGTCGAAATCTATAATAAGCACATTCCCAATTTATTTTGGTAAAACTATGAACTTTTATCATTATTTAAGTCTGATTGCAAACTCCCTTTTTTAACGTAAGTTCTTGTAAAATTTTTGAATATTTGTGTTTTAATTTTTTCATTAAATTTTTTGCGCTATATTTGAAACGTTTTCCACCATAATAGGTTATATTCCGTTACAACAGCATTTTTTACCCTAAAACAGTTCAGTTTAAAATGAAACAAGTGTTCGATGTCATTCAGGAAAAAGTAATCTTGAAACAAAGCTGAGAGTCAGGTATCAGAAGCTATCCTTGAATTCCATGTCATGAGGTCAGCCTCTTGTTTAATCAGTTTGCCCCAAAGCAATGAAATTTAGAAGCGTCCGAAATATTTTATTCAGGTATTTAGCTAGCTTGAAGTCAGAACAACGTTTTGAATTTTTTCGGTCACAATTTTGCCAAAAAAGATTATATTATTGCAGATCTTGATAAGGAAGTGAAAACGAAAAGCAAAAGAAATGATTGGAAAACAAGAGGTATGTTAGAACTATACGTATACTTTTCTTAAATGTTAAGCAAAACTACTAACAGTTTTAACAAGATATATACACGAAAGATCCATTTCTTGACATAAACAGTTGTACAAACAAGTTTTCAGATGAGCATAATGTGTAAGTATACTTAATATGTTGAATTCCCCTTCTAATTTCACATGACTTGCGCGTCTAGTCAATGTGAATTTCTCATTATGCATTGAATGTTTTGGTTAAATATTAATTACAAAAGATAAGTTAATGAATGTATCGGCTCTTACCGCGTCATGAACTTGAAAAAATGTCTGGGAAAACTAGGGTCATGCGGTGATTTTGTAACGTGTGCTACGAAAACAAATCAAAACACTTAGGTAAGGTAAAGGCAAACCATTGTACCAAAAACGTTGTAACATACTGTGGAGACTGCATTGGTTTACCTTTGATTGCATTGGTTGAAAAAAATTGGTCGCAAAATGTGAGCATAACATTTAAGCTTATATGTTATATATATATATATATATGAATAAAATTATTTTTATATTTTCTATACTGCATTAATTTCGTCACACTAATTTAGTAACAATGACACTATTGAACAATTTAAAAGTATTAAATATTTACTTGAATGGTGTGTTTTTAGTAAACTTGGCTTCGCCAGTCATCGGTGATCTCCATGGTGCTGTGAACCAACTCAGTGCCGGTCATCGGTTATCCCCACGGCATTGAATGTGTTAAATTAAATATTGCCGAGTTAATAAAATTCATTTACTCAAAAATTTCAATGAAGCTTCTTTGGCAGTTCAAAAAATTCAATTAAGCCTTTTTAAAAAAAGGAAGAAATGTTGGATAAACTTTCTTACTCAAAAATCACTCTTCGTCTTCCAAAAGGGATTCTGTGTGAGAAAGAGCCATAAAATGGGAATCAAAGAATGAATCCCAAATTTATCACTTTAAATATTTACATAAACTTTATCTACTCAAAAGATAGTCAAGCACAACTGTTCGCTTTTCCTGTTTCTGATGGATTGAATGTTAAGAGATGGACTAACAAAAATTTTTCCTTCCCACTTCCGAGTACAAAAATTTTAAATTATTACATACGAACATCACGAACCCTTAAGCTATGCAAATAGAAGAGAATTCTGTTAATGATTAGTAAGCACTTTTGCTTTCTTCTCATTAAATTTATTTTACTTATAGACATATCATGCGGAAATCTTCCGAGATTAAAGATATTTTTATTTACCTTGATAAATTTAAAAGAGCAATGTTATATAACATCAGTAAAAAAATGAAGGGTAACGTTATATACCATTATAATAAATCCTCCCTGCTCCTAAAATAAATACTCAGGTCCCAGGTACTTGACTCATATTCCGATATGTATTGTTATTTCTTTAGCTTTACAATACATTCTTCCATAACCCTCCCCCCGAAAAGCATCTTCTTCGACTTCATCTAAGTACATATTTATCTTTTCAATTGAAAAAAGTGAATTGCTTTAATCTAAATGAAATTGCAGAAACTAGTAAAAATGTTCAGTGCAATTATGTTCTTGTTAGGAATCAGATTTCTATGTTTCTTCAGAAACTTCGTATTACAGCAGATTGCTCTGAAGCTCTGGAAATCAGTCAAATGCTCTTAGAAATATATCTCCTATTATTGAATTTCAGAACTATTATCTATTTTTTATATCTTCGTCTCCTATATTTCTTAATATCAAATTACTTTGGTACGGTATTAAATGAAATAAAATATCTGAAAGGAATAATTACAGTTTACAAATATATTATGTGATAGGAGTTCTAATCTCTATAATTGTTTTTAATGCTAACTTTCCAGCTTTTATACATTATAAGAGCAATTCTTTGCCAAGTTAATGAAAGTGTATGGGTCTTGTAACATTTAGAAGTGATACGTAGAACATAAGTTTTTTTAATGTGCATTTCCTTCCGCAAAAGAAACAAACGTGAGAAATTATAATCTGGCCCACCAATAAACATACTAATGATATCTAACTAGTGGGAAATAAAACTGAGAACGTGATAAAATAAAGCAAAGTTCTAAAAAAAAGTATCAAGTTTTGTTTCTCTTCTATCATACGTAACAGTAAAGTATTAGGAATTCAGTTACCCAACTTCTACGAGGTTTAACTTAAGTCTTTTAGAATATCGATCCACGAATTAGGAATTGCCATTTTCATTGCATGTGCTTTTTGATTATTAAAGTTGAAAGTATTCTCTTACGATTTCTCTTACGTTAATAACATTGTTCACTTCCACGCCAATCGAATTAATTTCTACCTTTTCGTTGCCCTGCGTTGGCAATACGCTTTTGAGTTTTGTCGTTCGTAGAATTCGGTCGCTAATAGCGTAGCTGGCCTGTAACGGTGTAATTCTTATTTTAAGCTTATCTGTACTCCTGAATTATTATTAAATGTTTACGTATGAATGTTATATTATTAAATGTCTTCAGTTTGATTTAAGTACACCAAGAGTCGTTGAATTTATTAAGGATATTTAAAACCGAAACTGCGTCATCCATGTCGGCGCCATTCTAATACGAGGAACGTAAACAAATTTCTGGAGGCACCGGCGAGATAGAGAATTCGTCAGCAGTTCAAGTACAAATAAGTGCTTTTTATTTCGATTTACATCTGAATTTGATTCTTGAAGTTTTATATCTATTTTGATTTTGAACTTGAATACTTCGATTACTTATTATGGATCAAGCTACTGTCATTAGATTGCGTGGTAGGGCAAAAGCGGCAAAAGATTTGTGAGTACAAATGAAAATGTAATACGCCCTTATACAATATGGATACAGTGGTAGCAAGTCTAACATACATATACTGAGGTGTAGATAGAGGCAAAGGAATAACTTCGTAGGATTCCTGACTGTGTAATTCTAAGTTACAGTTGACAGTGAAGAATCTTAAGAACACAATCTTAAGAACAAGTAAGAAGAGTTAAATAACCCTTTATTATTCCAATTAAAATTTAACAAAACTCCGTCTTGGAGTTGTACAATAAAGCCGACACTTGGGCTTAAACTTAAGAGACTAAGAATTAAACTAAACCAATCTTAACTAAAGGAGATATAGCCGAAGCTATAAAAATTCTAACAGAGTTGGCCCCCTTAACGCTAATTGACTGCGAAGCTATCAAGGGCCTAAAGTACGGCAGAGCGTAATAATAGCTTACGAGAGAGTAGCCTAAGAAAAGGCGGACGCGTGCAGCCAGAATAACTGGTCTCACTAAGACTGTAGAACTTCGCGGTTATATACCGCTCTTCCTCATTAGCATTCAAACATGATCCTAGAACTACGTTCTGGCCAGAAGTGGTAAATTGAAATTAAGAATCGATAGAAAAGGAAGTTTAACTCAAAATTTAATTGTTAATAAAATTAACATAATCCTTACAACTTTAATAAATATGCGACTACCTTAACATAATTATTTTAATTAGTATTTAAAGTTTTGTTTGCAAGACGAAAAAGTGTAATTTTCTTAAACTTATAATCTTTGCAGTTTCTTTTTCGTTCTCAGAGAGCAGAGATGTTTTTAATTTCCTTTATTAACCTTTATTAACAAAGAACTGAATTACTTACTTGAAGTACAAGTGAAGTTATTAGAAGACCAAGCACGTGCTTATAATACAAATGAAAGTATCCCAATTCCAGAACAAATTTCAGTTGCTCACAATTGGCAGTAAATAGTGCAATGTCAAGGAATCCCCCAGCTATGGTGATTCTTCTTGTCATGAGATGGCTACCTGCGGTGCTAAAAGTTGGATCTACAACCTAGAAATCGATATCGTGGTTTTAATTTATCTGGGCTCAGTTAATTAAAAATGTTAAAACAAACGCATAATTTTTTAGCGCACATAAGAAATAGAGAACAAATTTTAACAGAACAAATTTTTTGCCCAAAATCGCATTTAGAGTATAATAGTTTAGGTCGTAAAATTTTAAATTGGCTTTCTGTACACCGGCAGATTAAAATCATTTGTTTCCCTTATTTTTTGCTTTTTATAACAGTAGGTGAAATGTTTAATTTTAAAATATCTTAATTTTTATAATAAACTCAGGAGAAATGTCGTGTACCTCTGTATTAAGAATGATCTCTTTTATGTGTATAACCATTTTGGATATGTGAAAGATATAAAACGCGTTTTTATATAAACCTAGTTTTAAAATACTTTCTTTAAATACACCATCGAAAATACTTCACAAGTCATCTTAAGACTGAATAATGAACATTACAATGTTAACTGTAGTAAGCGTAAGATCTCTTAATTATTAATATATTTTTAGTCTTAAATCACAGTAAGATTTATCCATTAAATTCCGTTTCAAATGGAATGATTTCTAATCTATGAGTGGAATTGCTTCTTATATGTAACTATTGAACATTTATGGCAGTAAAATGATTGCAAATATTAAATGATTTCCAGCTTTTTTTTTAAAAAAATTGTCTAAAGTTTATGCTAAACGTAAGCTAAAAAACTACAAATACTGCATTTCACAGCGTAATCTTAAAATAAATACTGATCTTTAGCGCGATAAAAAATAACAGAGTATTCTTTGAGCAACGAAGCATAAACACTCTTCTGCTGCATCTGCTTATTACACCTCAACTTCATATACTATTCATTCAAACTCCTACTTAGTACAATCATCAGTATTATAAAAGTCAAAAGATATTTCTCTTTTGGTGTAAAAAATTGGATTTTTTAAATTTCAAAAGTGCTTTGTAAAGAAAAATGGCTAAATAAATTTTTCTGTGGGATTAATTAGAAATGTCAGAATAAAAATAATGCAAATTCAAGGGATATTTTTTTAATTAACACAGATTTCTCTTCCTTCGAGGACATTTCTTTGAAATCCTTATCGCAAAATGGAAGAATTATCTTATATGGGACAAGTTATTTTGATTTTACGACCTTTTTATTGATCATGTTGCGCGAGTTTTCTCAGTTCAGTGTCCAAAATAGTGCCCTATTTAAATCACTAGACGTGAAATACAGAAAAGCATTGAATTTGAGAAGGGAATTATTTCTTAAAAATCAGCCATGCGTTCTCAGGTTGCAATCTGGTAATCAGATATTTGGTGTATTTCATAAGCACCGCCTTGCTGGCCTTGAAGTAGAGAAAGTCTCCTCCTGCTACAGTCATGAGGGAGGGTTCAAATCACATGGACGTGTGTAAATGTATAGTATCTTCTTGGTATGGGGGTTCGTAAAATACGAAAGCCATCTCGAAATGATGATGGGAGACCTTCGCATCAGTCGCTGAAGAATTCTCTCTCAATTTTCGAATATAAGTGGGAAAATACTTACTGGGTGTCCAATGCCTTGGGCACAGTCCACGAATGAATTTTATCGCCTCTTGGCCTTCACCAGAGACGCAACCCTTGCCTCCTGGCCACGACAAAATTCGTGGAGTTAATCTGATGTTAATATAAGACAAATTGAAAAGAATTTTCTTCTTCCTTAGCATGTGCTTTCGGGGTGTAATTAGAAGCATGTCCGGCTAGCAATCGGAAGGTTAGGAGTTCTAATCATGTCAAGCGCATGGATGACTAATCTCTTTTCTTTGAGGGGCTCCAAGAAATACTAACAACTCGACAAGTTGGGCCGGAGCTAAAGTATGGTGAACTATAGTTCGCCCCACCTAAATTTGGCGACTTTGTCCCCTCAACTCCAGTCGCCTTTAAAGTGGATTAAAATATAAGTGTGCCTTTGCAATGTGATTTAATGTATGTCCGGCTAACAATCGAAAGGACCAGAGTTCGAAAACCGGCGAAGGCATTACTGATTTTTTAGGGTTTCCTGCTTCGAAATAAACCTAATGGCTCTACAAAATGATATAAGTCACAACTCCATCATATGCAGCAGTTAGGTTCAAGAATCCTATTCGTAATAATTAAAGAAGTAGCATCAGTTAAAAATGTATTCATATCAATCTGTTAAATTTCATTTGTTATTGTGGTCATAATCATTATTCATTTGTTAGCCATATGTAGGCTCAAAAAGCTCTATTATTTCTTTACTACTGCATCATGTTCTTACTAGTTAACATTACATTTAATGATATTACTTGGGAGTCAATAATTCACTTACTTAATCGTATTTTTCTAACAAGCCAGAAATTAAATTGCCGACACTAGAAACTGAGAGTGATAGTTTAGAAAATTGACACAGGAATTCAGGATACGAAATTAAAATGAAGCCTTAGTAACTGAAATTGAAAATTTTCATTAAAGTGTTATTTTATTGAAAATCCATAATTTTATACTTTTTATAGCAGATAATTTACCATGCATTGTAAATTTACTGAAATGTAAACAGGAGTATGTTCATGGTTGTAAATTGTGGATTAAATATTTTTAAGAATAAAACCTGATTTTAATCATAAAATTTAAAAATCTGGATGGTGCTACCTAGAAAAAGATTTTCCGAATAAAAATTGCAAACAACCAAACTAGGTTCTGATTTTGTGATACTAAACAGTTAAAAAAAAATTAATAAATTAAAAAGAGATTTTTCTTTACCTTCACGTGTGCTTCAACTGCTGCAAGAGAAGGCTCAATCTTCAAACTGTTACTCAAATTACTTGAACAACGACTTCTGCCCTTTTTGGTTTCGACATCCTTCATCTTCCTGAGAGCAGGATCCATAAAAAGTTCCTTCATTTCCTCTACGCAGTTAAAACTTGCGTCTTCTGCGGGATTAGATGTGCTTCGATTCATTGTCTGACCTGTTAGAAAATACAAATTTTATTATAATCAACACAGTTTGCTTGCCTCTAACTCAATGCTGTGATCAACTAAAGTATCAAAATTAAAAAGTAATCCAGTCAGCCTAGATGTGGCGAAAAACTATATGCCAGAGAATTATTCCAGTGACAGATTTATATTTTTGACTTTTGATCATGAACAAGTTTCACATTTGGCTGGTGGTAAGCTCAATAATTAATAATTATTAAATAGTCTACCTTTTAATTTTATAGATGTATAGTTAGTTACCTGGAAACACTTGACTTTTGACTCAGTAAATAAGGAAGCAAAATTAAAAGATTCAGACTTTATGCACTATAAGAACTTTTCACATGATGTCATTTCCATAAAACATCGAATTCTAGCCTTTTTTTTTTCATCTGTTGCCACAAATACAAGATAAAATTGAAAATACATAAGCAGTAAATTATCTGTCGCAATGACAGCTTCACCTATAGAGAAGGGTAAAATAACATTTTGATTACGGTGCGGGAATATGTTAAGAAACATTTTTATTCTTAACATATTCCCTCACCCGGCTGAATTCTCAAGTTCAGGAATGACTGCTTAGGAAGAGGACAGTATTTGGAAATTGGCCGTCGATGAAGTCCGGTTGACAGTTACTTCAATTCAAGAATTCGAACAACTCCGTCTTTTCCAAGAAAAACATCTGTGATTCTTCCAAGATTCCATTTCAACAAAGGAAAACACTTTCCTGAAGTAAGAGTTTCTAAACCTTGAGAATCGGAAGAAAGATTAATCAGTGTTCTGGAATGAGGTCATGCTTCAATCTGTATTACTAGAGTGGTAAGTTGCTCAAAAGTTAAGATAGCTGACCTGCAAACTTTGAATAAATGTTGCTTAACAGATTTGATTCCAACCTCCCACAATCCCCCAAAATATGGAGCTAAAGGTGGGATAAAATGCCATACAACAGATTCTTGTGCTGCAAATAGCAGAACTGGGAAACAACGATTGCTCTTTTAGTATATAGGTTCTTGCTGATTGAAAATTCGTTGTTATCTGAATGCAAATTTACTGTTTCCCACGTCTGGAAATAAACCGCCTTAAAGCCCCTAGAAAGGTATCTATTGATAAATCTGAAACTAACCTCGAGGTGAATTGCTTTAGTGGCAAAGCAGTTAAAAAGAGCGATGTACGATTTAATTCTTACTCTACAGCGAGTCAGATTAAGTTTCTTTGTGAATGGTCTACCAAAATCAAGTCCAACGTTAAGAAATGCTCTGCCAACACTAAATCTACTGGAAGGCAAGTCTTCCATGATGCTATTGCATGGCTGGGACGACAGTCTAAAGCAAGTCAAACATCTGGATAGAATTCGTCGAACTGCATAAGATCATTTTCTCGTCTTTATATCTCTTGCTCGAGAAGGAGTAAATCGTTTGTCAAGATCGGCTCGATTTATACTTGATAGGGCAGAATGAGAATTCTTCTCATATCTTGCGGAGATCACAGAATAAACGATAAAAGATACTGTGACAGCCTCTTATAAGCATTATTATTCAGGCAGCTGCTGTCTCTGTACCTATAACATCTACAAGGTTACCAAAATATTCGAGATCAATACTGATTACCAAGAAACTCCCAAACAACAGAGAAAAGCTTCGGAAGCCTTCCGAAGGTATCCCACATTGTCAAAAATACCAAAGCAAATGCAAGATATGTAAGACGGCAGAGAGATTGATGGATATTATGTGTGTCATCAATTATAACCTCTACGCCAAGCAAAAACGTTTGGGAAAGAGTTATAAAAGCATTAGGACTGTATAAAAACCACTCATTTTCTTTTCTGCAAAAAGATGGCAGAGTTATTAGCAGCACAGAAGAAATGGCGAATACGATAGGTAATATATTTGATACAGTTTCTTCCAGATATTATTCACCCGCATTTCTTTCTGTCAATCTATACTCTGAACGAAATCCGACGTATTCAACTTTTCCAACTCTGGGCTTTATAATAGATTTTACAATGCTTGAGCTAAAGAGCGCTTTGTACAGACACATAGATCTAGTCCGGGTCTACACGGCTTGAGTTAACTAAATGCTGAACCATCTGTCTTGTAAGAATGCTCTTATCGCTCTTTACAATCGAGTGTGGAAAGAGCATACCTTTCCCAATGCATGGAAGAAAGCTGTTGTCATTCCAATATCTGAGTCAGGGAAAGACCAAAATAATCCCTCCAACTATAATCCCATTGCACTTATCAGTTGTGTCTGCAAATTGTTCGAAAAAAATGGTAAACCACCGCCTTGTCTATTACCTAGAAAAATCAACTTGATTTCGTCACATCTGAGTGGTTTTCGCAGAGAAAGAACGACAATCAGTAATATATATTGTAATATATTAGGTAAAATAGAGTTCCTTCAAGGCTAGAATATTGAAGAAGTAGATAGCGACTGTTCGCTGAGTTCTTGTAGTGTAAGAAGCAAGGCCAAAAAAGAGTTAAATTACTCTTTATTCTAACTTAAAATGAATTAACAGTTGACCATTCTCGGGCTTACAAGAAACCTTCAATCGGGCCTTAACTCAAAATGGAAAATATAAGACTAACTAATATTAAATAAAATTAATCAGACGAAGCTGCACGGAGTTGGCCCTTAATTAAGGATAACCGGCGTAAGCTAGCAGACACGTATTAGGTACGGCTTAGAATATCAAGCTTAAACTAATAGCAACAATGTGGGCGAAAGTCAGAACATGCTCTTCTACTGAAGTAACTCAAACCTCAGCTTAAATAACCATTTCTACCTTATTTGCATAAATCGTAATCCCAAAAACTCATTCTCTCAGGGAAACGTATGTATGAAACTTGAAGATAATAGAAACGCTAGTAACTATTGGAAAATTACACTGAAGTGACAAAAGTCATGGGATAGCAATATGCAAATATACAGATGGCAGTAGTATCGCGTAGAAAATGTATAAATGCGAAGTGCTTTGGCAGGGCTTTCATTTGTGTTCAAGTTATTCATGTGAAGAGGCTTTGACGTGATTATGGCCGCACGACGAGAATTAACAGACTTTGAACGCGTAATGGTAGTTGGAGCTAGACGCATGGGTCATTCCATTTCGAATATCGTTAGGGAATTCAACATTCCGAGATCCACAGTGTCAAGAGTGTGCCGAGAGTATCTAATTTCAGGCATAACATCCCACCATGGACAGCGCAGTGGCCGACCACCTGCACTTAACGACCGAGACCAGCGACGTCTACGTAGAGTTGTCAATGTTCACAGACAAGCAACACTGCGTCAAATAACCGCAGAAATCAATGTGGGACGTACGAGGGACGTGTCCGATAGTACAGTGCGGCGAAATTTGTCATCCTTGGGCTATGCCATCAGAAGACCGACTCGAGTGCCTTTACTGAGAGCACGACATCGCCTGCAGCGACTCTCGTGGGCTCGTGAGCATATCGGTTGGTCCCTAAACGAATGAAAAACCGTGGCTTGGTCAGATGAACCGTGGTCTGTCACGATTTCAGTTGGTAAGAGCTGATGGTAGTGTTCGAGTGTGGCGCAGACCCCACGAAGCCATGGACCCAAGTTGTCAACAAGCCACTGTTCAAGCTGGTGGGGGTTCCAATGTAATGTAAAAACCATGTTAAAACCAATGCCATGTAAAAACTGCCCAGACGGTCTGGGCAGTTTTTACATGGCCATTCATGGACTTCACGTACTCAAACAACGATGAGATTTTTTATGGATGACAATGCGCCATGTCACCGGGCCACAATTGTTCGCGATTGGTTAGAAGAACATTCTGGACAATTACAGCGAATGATCTGGCCACCTAGATCGCCCGATATGAATCCCATCGAACATTTATGGGACATCATCGAGAGGTCAGTTCGTGCCCAAAATCCTGCACCGTCAACACTTTCACAATAATGGACGTCTATAGAGGCAGCATGGCTCAATATTCCTGCCGGGGACTTCCAACGACTTGGAGTCCATGCCACGTCGAGTTGCTGCACTTCGCCGGGCAAAAGAAGGAGCGACAAAATATTAGGAGGTATCCCATGACTTTTGTCACTTCAGTGTAAAGTAAAACCCTACAACTTCTTTTGAAAACTTCCATTCGTAAAGTCTTTGTCAAAAGAAACCGCCTTGTCTCTGTTTTGTTTAATATTCAAAAACGCTTAGGGATACATATAGGTATGGAATTTTGCGTGATCTTCATCATAGTGGCTTAGGCGGCAACCTTCCAATTTTTATTCAAAACTTTTTGAAGGCTAGAACTTTTCAAGTTAGAATCAACTCTGTTTTTTCTGATAACGTTGAAAAAGAAGATGGTGTATCTCAAGTGTGCGTTTTAAATTTTACTTTAATCAACATAAAAAGAAACCCTTTCTTAAAGGAACTTCCTCCTACGTTTCAGGATCATTGTACGTTGATGACCTGAAGATCAGATATCAAGGTAGAGATAATAAGGTATGCAGCGAGGGAATTACAGATCGCCCTTAATAGGATCCAGACATGGTCAAAGAAAAGTAGATTTGTATTTTCAAAAAAGAAGACTGTTTGCATGCACTTTTGCAGAAAGCAAAATCTCCATCCTGAGCCTCGGCTTTACCTTGAATGTTCATTAATTTCAGTTGCGGGCGAAGTCAAACTGATTGACCGGAAGCTTACTTTCCTTCAACATGTCATTTGCCTGAGGAAGAACTGTTTCAGAACTCTTAATCTTCTCAGAGTCCTTGCGAACAGCTTGGGATGCAGAGCGTGAATCATAGCTTCACATTTATAGGGCACTCATCCTCTCTAGACTGGACTCTGGCTCAGTAGTTTACGGATCAGCACTATCTTCTCTATTATTGAAAAAGAAGATGTAAAAATTAACTATGAGTGAAAGACGCGTTTCTTTGAGCTCTTGTATTGCGTTTTGTTAATTGCTGACAAATTCTAATACCATAAGCGAATTTTATATCATCGTGAAGCCCTACTCGAGAAAAATACA